TACACAGGAGTGTAGAATTAAGGGCATTCTCAGGAAAACATGTGGATTTTCATCAAGATAGCAGTGAAATCAAACACATTCCCTCTTCATTCCTAAGGAAAATTCAATCTTCCTAGTTCACAAAAATTGTGTTATCCAGTTTCTATTTTGCCAACTATATTCTCATTCCTTAACTGATAACTTATATCTAGCATTAATTGTTCTTCAACGTTGCAGAAAAAAACAAAAGGTTCTACAGCCCAAAATTTGCCCTGTACTTCTCCACACCATTTAGTAAATATATCCGTTTTGTAGAAATTCCACAAAAATGTTTGAAGGTCTTGAACTTTGTCTCAAAGACAAGAGCATATATAGGCAGATAAACATAGTTTTTGTTATGATCAGTGATCATTAACAATAAGGGCATACAGTTCGTCTCCCTCTATCCAGCTCTTAACTTTCCTCAGCCCTTCTGGGGAAAAAAATGAACATTTCTTTTTTTGGGGAGGATGGTTAATCTCCATCCTTTACTGAAGGTGAGCATAATTACATATAATCAAACCAAAGCTGCACAGAATCACTTGGTTGAGTTGGGGGCTACAGAAATTGAATAAATAAAATGAAAAAAATGCCTTCTGTTACATTTCTTTATTTATAAAGAATTATAAGTGGCCACTATGCACACTGATGTTATTGGAAAACCATGACGGTTGCATAATTTATCAACCTGTGAGTGAATACTTTTCTGTTGTTACCACATTTATTTTGAGTGACATTTAAAACTTGAAAGTTAAGAAATTGCATCTGTTTCTTTTCCAGGCTGATGTCAGAGGAGCTTATGACACTCTTCCCCATGATAAACTGGTAGAAGTGATTTTACAGATTCTTGCACCAGACAGAAATACCACCTACAGCCTACGACGCTATGCAGCAATCATCAGGACTGGAAATGGATGTATTAAAAAATGTTACAGAACACACGTAAGAGAGACATGAGAGTTCCTCATTATTACTAAAAAAGTAAAGTTGGGTTCTTTAAATGTGTTAGGTCACATAGTGCAACTCAAACTCTATGTGGTAGTATTTTGATGCTCTCCCTGCAGTTTTCAACCCTGCTCACTTTTTCCTGTAGCCCAACTAAAAAAAAAATTATTCATACCAATCCTCTTTTTTTTTAAATTTCCCATATCAAAAAAAGAAAAAAATGTTATTTTAATTCTAAATCGTATCTTCCATTATAAAAATATAGTTTTATATAAGGGTCATCCGTTCTTTTAATCATATTCAAACAGGTATATTAAACAGATAGTGCCCCCTCTGATAAATCAAATCTTCTGTTTTTTAAGTCTAACTCTCGCTTTCTTTCTTTGCTGAGTAGCTTTCCAAGCCAAGGCAATTAAATAGCCCCAAAATTTTCTTTCTATTTTTGTGCAAGCTGCTTGGCATAAGAAAGGCAATTTAGGTAAAGTATTTTTTGGGGGGGAACTCTGCCCATCCACATTCCCTAGACATTTCCCCTGCCTGCTCTTATGTTCCGTTTTCTTGAATCTTCTTCCTTGTCCTCAGGTGTATTTTGGAGAAGTAAGAGATCTTTTGTATTTTCATTGTTATAAGTAGGTCTTGCACTATTTTATTTGTATATGGCAGTCCATATTTCCCTTCTCCTATCTCCTCCACCTCTAGATGCATTTCTTCTGCTTCATCCTCTGATTTCTGGTTTATTTGTTCATACTTTGAAGTCGTTATCTGGGAGGTTTCCTGTTGTAGCTTCAATTTGGAGATTTGGTCTTTTATATCATCTAGGTTATTTTTATTCTCATTATGGTTTCTTTTTATGCCCTCTTTTTTGCAACAATTGTTTGATGAATTTGCTGTATCATAGAGAATATTTCCTTCTGAAAAATATTTGTTTTTTCTTGAGGCATCATTCCTAGAAATCATTTAGTATCACCAGTCTCAGTAAGAGTGGAAGATATTTTCCTTTAGCCTTTATAATCCAGTCCTAATAGCAATGTTTTATAGTAATCTTTTGTCTCAAGTATCCTGAAAATTATCAGTCAGGCAAGGTTGTAGTCCACAATGTTCCAAGTGTTCAAAATGTTCAACCTCCCTGCAGCTAGATGTATTCAAAAGACTATCTTTTCTTTCTCTCCCACTAGCTCTTGAGATTAAAAGTCTAAGCTCAGTAGGTATTTATAGTCCAAGAAGGTCAGGATGATAAAAATGCCAAAATATTTTCCTTTATTGCCCGCTGTACCAAGCAGCCAAGGAGCTAGTTATGGTGCTGTACTTAAATCCACCACTAGATGTCATTCAAAGTCCATTTTTCACTCTTAAAGGGTTGGTTTCTTATATTTCACCTCAATAATTTTTTTTCAGGAGAAAATCTTAACAATCATCTCAGTTCTCAGATTTATCAAAACTGTAGTTTTGTGTTACTTTACTTCAGTATTATGTATTTCTGTTCCCCATAACAAATTTAAAACTCCGCTTCCATTCACATCTGGAGATTTTAGGCTTCTTGAGACCCTTTCCCAGGAAATTCAGTTGTAAAATAGTAAAGAAAGGATCAAAATATTCTCACCTAGTCCAAACATGCTGTTTACGACGTGCTAATTAAGGCTTTTGTTCTTCGGTTGTCAGCAGCTAATGGCCAGCCGCAGAGGTGTGGTCGGTCTTTCCCCTGCCGGTTTAGAGGGCTTTCTTTAAGGCACCCCTCCTTCATTGCTTCGGGGCAACTTTAGGTCTTTTTCAGGGCCCACAGCAGGGCGAAATCAGGCACAGAAGGTAGAGCCTTGCCTTCCTGCATCTGCAACACAAAACCGGAAGTCCTTGGGTTTCCAATCTCTTGAATAGCTAATAGGTTGAAGAAGATTTCACTCTACATCAAGCTGGAATTTCCCCAGGGAACTAAAAACTACTGTAAGTTTCCCAAAGAATTAGGTATTCCTGATGAGTTAAAGATTGCTCTGTTCACCTGAGATCTCAAAGAAGGTGACCCTCGAGAGATTAGTAGTACTCCCTGTGATCCTTACAAGGAAGCTGTACATCCTATACTAGATAAATCACAACATGGTAATAACCCTTGGAGTTTTACATGGATTTTGTTCTGCCCATTGTGGTCACAACTACCACTGCGGCCTTTGCCGTGGTTTTCCTCATTTGCAACAGGTTTTTGCAAATGCTGATGAAAGACATCTTCCCTTTCATTTTGCTCTGCAGAAGAAAGAAGTGGATTTTCTTTCTTGCAGAAGATAAGAGCTGCACTAGTTTTTTTATCTTATTTTTTGAATAAACCCAGCAGAAAGGGGATCTTTTGATGGATTTTCCAGAAAAGTATAATGACATCACACTGAACAATTTGTGAAGAACTTTTCAGTTAATCCTTTTTGTAGGGTTTTTTTTTGTTTGGTTTTGTTTTTTCCTGTCTGATCCAATTTTACAAAAAATGCTGCTTAGGGAGAGACTTTTAATAAAATTATTCCTTTTCTATCAACCAAAATTAAGTAGAGCAACATCTTCTCTGTGTGATTCCTATAGTAAGCATTAACTCTCTTCTTCTGTGTATCTTTTGTGCTACTTCATTCTGCAAATGTTCAGCTTGAAGTAAAAGGAAGCAGTGCTAAAAAGAAGAGAGTATTGGTGAGAAGGTTTCCCCATGGATATTGATATATGCCCATATTTATATTTAAAGTCACGTTTGCTTCTAGGACTTAAAATATTGTAGTTTTTTGTCACCAGAATTGATGTAGCCTATCTCCTAATTTCTACAAGGAGCAGCACCAATTAGGCTAAATAATTGATTCTTGGATTTGGGTGTTAAATATGATTTTTTGCAATTATTTAACATTTTAATGTCTTTTTTCTTTTTAATTTGATATTTGAAAATAAATGTAATTTATATCATGGCATTCATACAGAATGGCTTTTGGTTTGTTTATTTGTTTGCTCATTTATTCAGTTTATATATTTCAATTTATACATTCATGATTGGGCAGTTTAAAATTAAAACAAATACTACCAACACACCCCCCCCCAAAAAAAATTAGCCGTACAAATTACAAACATGAAAACAATTAAACAAGTAAAGGTATATAGAACAATCTCTGGGAGAGTACAGCCATTTTATAGGCTGTAATAAGAATATAGCCATTATGGCTCCATTAAAATGTATCTGATAACCTGCAGTCTTATGCATTCTAATAACTTCATTGAACATATAATTTATATAAGTAGCCTTACATAAATTAACTTTGTTAAGCCAAAACTGATTCTCAGGCCTATCTGGTGATGTTCATTATACTTTTTAAGCTAGGTTTTAGGTTTTAAAGAAAACTTTTTTCATTCTGTTTGGGAAAAACTAAGTGGCCAGACTTGTTAACCAGTCTTTCTTGTCCCCAGTTATGTTTTTAATCCTGGGCATTATCAGAGAATGCTTTTGAATTTTTATTTTTATATCTGAAAATTATTGGTATTTTTTTACTCAGATATCTTACCCTTTCCTGTTTTATGTTATATGTTATAGTCTTTTGTGAAGTTAAAATAACTTAATTTGAATGTTTTTACAGGTCTCAACTTACAATGAGTTTATATATGGAATGAAACAGTTTGTATCTCATCTTCAACAGAGCACTTCACTGAGAAATGCTATAATTGTTGAACAGGTAATTTTAACAGCTAGAATTTATATTTCTGAAAAAGAATTTACAAATATCTGCCTGTTTTTCAGCAAGCTTTCAGAGAGCTGCTTTTCAATCTAGCAACACTCTGGTCCTGAAAAAACTTGGTTTGCAAGTCTGAAAGCTGCCTCTCACTGTATCTTAAAATGTTAAACAGTTACAAACATGGCTCAAAGTTCAAGCCATCTCTTTTTTCCCCCTCCTGGTTCCTGTCTTGCTTTAATGCTTCAAATCTTAATGGGTATCATCAGTGCTTTTTTTCTTAAAAAAAAAAAAAAAAAAAAAGGTGCTGGAACTCACACATGTCACACAACCCGCTTTGCCTACCCTACAAGGTTCCATCCCAAAAAGATGCCGGAACTCCGTTCTGGACGTTCTATGAGAAAAAAGCCCTGGGTATCATGGTGTCCAACTTATTCCAAATGTCTAAGGGAAATTTATAAGAAACCTTGACATTTGCATATGTAAAATTTATACCTTTTGAACTGCACATTTATATAGTCTTAAATGGGCTCATTCAAGTGTTCTATCAATTCTCTTTCAATTGACAGTGTACATACTATGTTTATTGGAATTTACCTTTTGAGTATCGCTGATTGGGTGTTATTGCCAGATACTACCACTAGATGGTAGTAACATACAGTGTCATTTTGATGGATAGGCTTATTTCATTATAGGTTATGCATCCTCCTTATTTTATTATAGATTATGATTATAGTTTATTTTATTATAGGTATTTTTAATTTCTGAACGAGTTTTTTCTTTCATGTAGTACTACCACATACTGGACCTTTAAATACACAAGAGGTTCTTAGAAGTTTGGCCATACAGATTACAAATGAATACATATTGAAAACTATAGTTGGGCTAATATGATCCTGTGTTACATCGATCAGTATGGGTTGTTTTGCCTAATTTGGTTTGCCTTTTGCAATTACATTCCCCTCCCCATCCCTTCTTAATGAAGTAGGTGATAACTATCAAGGGACAGTAATTAACTGCAAAGTAGGAGAGGGGGATTTTCTTCACTTAATTTACTGATTTGCCAACCCAAAAATGCACAGGTCTCATTTAAAAATATTTTACCTGGGCTGTTTTTATATTTACTTTTCTTTTTGTTATTGCAGAGTGTTTCTCTGAGGGAAAGCAGTTCTAGCCTCCGGGAGTTTTTCTTGCAGTTGATCCCTAATAATATCCTGAAGATTGAGGACAGGTACATGTTTATTGTAAGCTTTATAGGAATGTTTCACCTGGCAACTTGCTTTTGATTGGATTTTAATTGTGATAGGATGTTAGGAGGTTGGGTAAGGGCCTCAAACCCTTTCAGTCTTTTCCAAAATGGCCCACTAGATGGCCCCTGAGAGCCCCCAAGCTGAGCATCTGAATATCCTCCCACCCATATTCTCTAGCAATTATTACTGAAAGGCCTGCTGCCTTTATTACAAGAAATATTTATATAATCGTCTTGGAGAGGAGCCATTGATTTGCCATGAATTTGTGCTAGCGCTTTTTAAAATGGTTAAAGTTGGTGGCAAATACTATGGTTCTAACTCACTCTTTTCCGAACTAAGGAATCTACAATTCCCTAAGTTTTTAAGTTTTCATAGAACATAAAGTTGGAAAGGACCTTGAAGGATTTATTAACCTTAGGGGACCTTGGATTTCTTCACTAGATTTAGATTAGATCAGATTAGATAACCTTTATTGTCATTAAGAGAAGTATTTATACTGCTGTTGCTGTTTTTTTTTTTTTTAGCAATTACTATTCTTGCCACTTGGTTTTGATGGCATATAAAGCTACAGTGATTATTTATCTTGATGGCACACAGCCTCTTGTTATTTTGCTGTTCATTTTGTTTCTTTTTTCCCAAGTCCTTTCATTTTCAATTCACTTCAGCTACAGTCATTGCTGTGCGATTTTCAAATAATCTTTTCTTCTAAAGATCATTCTTAACCCTCTTGAGGGTAGAAGCCAGAACATCTGTCAGGATTTAAACTGATTCTGACCTCAGAGCACTCTGTGCTTAGCCAGCCAGCCTTTCCTCTTGAATGCATTCAGATAGCTCCTGAAATGCCAGCCATTTGTGTATTCATTCTATTATTACTAAAAAAAAAATTAAAAGAGTTGATTGAAGAGGGACCAATTTATCTAAAACATGGGTTAGGGTATAGTAGAGGGCAAATCTAGAGCATTTAGGAGAATAGACAAGAGAGATTAGAGGGCAGGGATGAACTTACATAAACTCTGGACAAAGAGGAGCATCTAAGCCAGGGGTAGTCAACCTTGGCTCTTTTATGACTCGTGGACTTCAACTCCCAGAATTCCTGAGCCAGCTAAGCTGGCTCAGGAATTCTGGGAATTGAAGTCCACGAGTCATAAAAGAGCCAAGGTTGACTACCCCTGATCTAAGCACTGGGAATGGGGGAGGAATCCGCTTATTCAAATGGTGGCAGACGTTGGATTGGGAAATCAACTTACACATGTGCAAGAAGAAATGTTTCCAAACATACCACTGGTTTAGCTCCATTTTCTTTTTGTCATACAAGTAATCCTCGAGTTTCGACAGTTCACAGTGACTGTTCGAAGTTACGACATCACCCTCCTCAAGTTCTTACGACATAGTCCTGAGGTTACAAATGTTGCAGCACCGCGACGGTCGTTCCCCCTTATGAATGACCGCAGAGGCACTGCAACATTCGTCTGCCTATTTCCCCCCTCCCCCCGCATTGGGCCTGTGGAGACTTACCTTGCAAAGATCTAGCAAGCTGTCTCTTCTCCAGCCTCTTTGCCGCGGTTTCTTTGCCTGCTTCAGTGCTTCAGGCCCTCCCTGTCTTTGCAGAGAATTCGCTACTGATTTCGCAGTACTTCAGGCCTCCATTCTCTGCAAATGGAGGCCTGAACGAGATCCGTGCCAGAAGCCTTTGCAAATGGATGGGAAGTTTCGGTGTTTCAGGCCTTCTGTCTGTGTGCCGTTTCCTTGCCCAAACCTGCAGGGGCAAGAGATTGCATCCCTGCAGGCTCCAGTCATCTTTGAAAAAAATTTTTGCCGCCAAGAACGGAGGCCGGGAGGGGTGTGTGTGTCTCTCCCAGCCTCCATTTTTGGCGGCAAAAGCCTTGAGCAAAGGCTTGCTGAAGCCTGCAGGGGTGAAAGATTGCATCCCTGTAGGCTCCGGTCATTTTTGCAAAGAGCTTTTGCCGCCAAGAACGGAGGCCGGGAGGGGCATGCATGCCGCTCTCTGCCTCCATTCTTGGCAGCAAAAGCCTTGAGGAAAGCCAGCCAAAGCTATCTTCAATTTGCCATCCCTTTCCCAGAAATCCTTTAAATTTATTTCTCTTCCTCTCTCTCCATTAGACAGTTATTCTGCCTCCCCCCAGCCTAGGAAAATCATAGTGAGTAGAATCCTGATTGGTAGTGTGGAATGTACCTGCAGGTGGGAAGTGAAATATGTACTGTTGTCCCATATACTCAGGCTTATTTTAAATACAAATATAGACCAAATCCATCAGATACCGTACCTCCAGCGTTTGAATGCATTTGAATGCATTGTGTTCTACTGCAGGGGAAGATTTTAACAATATTTTCATGATCCACAAACTTAAGAATATAGTTAGGCAAGTTGTCTATTCAGCTATGTCAGAAATATTCCGTTTCATGTTACTGCTTGTGTAGCTGAAGGTAAAGAGAAGAGATACATAGGGAGAAGCCCATGAGATACAAAGGGAGAAGCCCATGAGATACCAGTGTGAATCTTTATTGCCAGGTGGGGAGAGAGAAATAGGTGTTTATTTGAGGAGTTGTTGAACAGATGAATCAATATACCGATTCAGAATTCTGAGTATTGCTATCCAACAGAACTTGGGGCAATGTTGTCCTAATAGAAAAGCCTATTTTCTGTCCCTTCCACCAAGATTCCAGCTCAAGTCCCACTTACTTACTCTATTTACAGGGAAATCATTGTCAATGTCATATGTTTCTCATATGATACACAATTTGCCCATCAGAAAATACTTTCTTATTGCAGTGAAATGATCGGCCTTACTACAACTAACTTTGCTTTACTACCAGATTTGAGTTCTTAATGACAGTGGACTTTTGGTTCCTGGCATTTCTCAGGTACTATGTGCAGTGCTGTGGAATTCCCCAGGGCTCCATTTTATCAACTCTACTTTGCAACCTCTGCTATGGAGACATGGAGAATAAGTTACTGTGCAATGTGCAAAAGGACGGGTAAGGTGTTATTCTGCTGTTTGGCATCTTAGCCATTCCCAAAGGACCAAACTCTCTTGTGCTACAATCTTTATAAAAGTTAAGTATCAGGTAATAACATGAAGCCCAGTATAAACTCTTCCAATTAAGGATGAAAGGAGATGGAGGGATTATTATTTTCCCCCGCATGTCTGCCAAACATATTACAGATCAGAGCCTGTTCCTGCTCCAGTTCTGTCTATCAAATTATAATCCAACAGATGTAAGTTGAGAAACAGGCAACCTAGCCAACTTGAAACATAGGAAGATTCTATATAGGTGTTTGGTTAAAGCTACATTGTTACATGTGTCACTGTGAAATCAAATTTATGCAAATTATATTGTGTCAGCTGCATGACGTCACTAATTTGCCTCACTTGTATGATGTAATGACACGTGCCATTACTACCGTGTTTCCCCAAAAGTAAGACCTACCCCGAAAATAAGCCCTAGCTTGATTTTTTGGGGTGGGCCTAATATAAGCCCTACCCTAAAAATAAACCCTAGTTTTGGGGTGAGGCACATACCTAAAAATCAAGCTGGGGTGGGGGTGTGGAGCTGCCCCACGCGCCCCATACCCACTTAATTTGCAGCCAGGCCTCTCCTCACCGTCCCACTTCTTCTGCGGCATCCCCAGACTTGCATTTCGCAGTCAGGCCTTTCGGAAGGCTACTGCAACCAAGAACCAAGCTATGGATTGAATCCATAGCTCGGTTCTCGGCTGTAGTGGCTTTCCGGAAAGGCCTTTGACTGTGAAATGCATGCCGGAGCTCCACTCTCAGCTGCTCCTTCGGCCACAGAAGAAGTGGGCTGGCTGGGCAGGGCTGTCGGCGCTGGAGGTGAGTGGAAAAGACACCCCCCCCCCAAATAAAATCTGGTGCTTTTGGAGGCAAAAAAAAATAAGATCAAGTCTTATTTTTGGGGAAACACGGTACCTCCTCCCCAACATCCATATGTATCTGCATCAGAATGTAAACTATTTTCAAAGCTGCATTTCAAGCAGGCCTAGGAATTTTAGCTCTTTGTCTCCAGGAATCTGACAAAACTCCCTTTTGCTAGTACTTCATAAAAATAGTGGCATTTCTGGCAAAATACTCCTTCCAGAATCTATTTCAGAATATGACAGTACAAAAAGTTATATCAGTTTTGATATAACCAGGAGCCAGCAATCCCAACCAGATTCTTTGGCATACACATAAGAATGCAGAGTTGCTTTCTTCAAAGGTGCAGCTTGAAATGAAATAAAAAACCAATACTTAGTCAAGTCTTTCTGGATCAAGCAATAAGCACATCCTATACTTGTGTCTTTCTTACCTCCTCCAACATTTAAATCAGAACAAGTAAATATTGACATGTTATACTAGCCCATTAAAATAGATCGAGGGCACCCACGTTTGCCTATGTGATGACCCCTGTAACAAAGGTGTTCAAGAGCCAACAATGAATTTATCCTCTTCTCCCACTTTGACCCAAAACTAAATTATTTTGAGACTTCTGGGAAGGGTGTTATTTTCCCTTCTGTGAATGTGGTGCTGGGATAAGCACCACATTAATACAACCTTTCTCAGATATGTGTAGAGTATAAGCTTATTTGATTTGCTTGCAGTGTATCAAGATTTCTGGCAAAATTATGGTATTGGCAAGATATTTAGGAAGTTTTTTTATTATCAGTAATAATGACTATACTGAGTTGAGTAGCTAGTGCTTGGATGAGAGGTTACCAGAAATTCTGAAGGCAAAGCCTGAATTGAAAAGTGTGAAAACCATCTGGGAGAAAGGCAGTGACAAAGCACTTTTGCTGCCAGGAAGATTATGTGGACACACAGAATTTAAGCCACATTTGATCCAAGGAAGTCTTTATTTGTATCTTCAGCCTGACTCTGAGGTCTGGCAGATGGTATGGAGAAGGTCTGCAAAAACCCAAGCATATCCTGTTATCCTTACTTAAGTTCTCAGAAAAAAATTGAGTCAGGTTTTTTTCCAGTGTATTCTTCTGCTCAGATTCAAGTCCAATCAGCTTCTCATTGTATGGGAATTAAACACAGCAAGTGGATTCATCCATCATTGTGATGGATGATCAGAACTTACAATCCTGTTTGTTTTTGTGCCAATTTTATTTATGGTTGAAAGGTTTAATTTATAGTACTGATACATTTTTTTATAATGAAGATTTGGATAATAGAACAGTGTATGTAATGGGAGTAATATGTGTATTACGTTTACCTCAAGTAATTGAAAAATGAAGAACTATGAGCAATGCATTCGTGCTTTAAAATTTAAATGTACCCAAGACCAAGATATTAACTTTTTTCATATTACAGAGTACTGATGCGTTTAACAGATGATTTTCTGCTCGTTACACCTCATTTAGAACAAGCAAAAACATTTCTGAGGTATGACAATGAAAGATACTATTTTTAATGAGTGATTTAATTGTCTTTCCTTGAATTTTAATTTTCTGTGCACAAAGGAATGAAAACATTCCTACTTTGTCCTATTCTGCTGTTCTTTCACATTTTTCTATATGGATATTCCATAAAGGTGCACTTAAAATGCTTTCTTTTAAATATATGCATTCTTTAGAATATATGCAAGAGGAAATAAACTGAAACTTTCAATAAAGTGCTGTAGAGATAGCAATGATTTCCATGAAAAGCATGGGTTATGATCCTGCTGGTATATTGATTCTAAATAAAGTGATCAGTCCTTGCTCTTTCCATGGTTAGCAAAACCAAAATGGACTTTATAAAAAAGGGGGTAAGCAAGTAGAAGTGACTAAATTCACATAACTGAAGAAAAGCCAATCTGGGGGGCGGGGGCGGGGGAGGTTATAAAGGTCTTATATTTTAGGCTTATTGCCATCTTGCTTAAAATTAGCAATTCTAATGTCAAAACCTAACCTATCAGGTGTAACCTACATCTGACCTACAAGCAGCTTTCCCCAGCTTTCATTCTAACTATTAAAATTCTGGAGTTTTGGAGAGACTATACAGCTGATTACTTATTTGGAGGAATTTATCATACGTATCTGCAGTTAGTTATTGTGGTGGAATTCATGATGTATATATATTTTAGGTAGCAATTTGGAACATATATTTTCCTTCATGTAGGACTCTAGCCAAAGGCATTCCAGAGTATGGCTTTGTTATAAATCCATCTAAGACTGTGGTGAATTTTCCTGTGGATGAGAACGTTCCACGTAGCTTGGAGTTCAAACAATTACCAGCTCACTGTGTTATCCCATGGTGTGGATTATTAATTAATACACAGACTCTTGAAATTTACCATGATTACTCCAGGTATGTACTATTCAGGAATAGTTATTGCATTAATATTAAGACAGTTGATAAACCAAAGATTTAATGGATGAATCAGTGAGGCTAAATTTAGTAGGCAAAGTTAAATTAAATAAAGACCCATAGGTAAACGGCATATTTGCTTATCTTTAAAGGCTGGTTGTGGCAAGTTAGTTAGAATGTGAAGTACAAAAACATAGTGAAAATAGTCCGCTATATTCAAGTGACTTTTGTTAAATTTAAAATCATTTAGAACTATATTATCCTCCCAAAGTACATGTTTCATAATACACAGAGTAATCTACATAGATTATGAAATAGATGATGAATCAACTCAAATAATTTGATAGCCTAAGTAATATACCTTACTAGAAGCAAAAAGATGAGCTTTCAAGCCTCTACTATAACCTACAGTTTTGATTTCTATAAAACTTAAATCCTTGCTGTGTTTGTAGATTAAATCTGGCAGGCATAAAAGATGCTCTATCACACACTTAGTGGGATGCATTTTTTGATTAATAGATTAATTTGTGGAGATCTAAAAATAGAATATTTCAGATTTCTGTGAAGGAATATTTGGAATTAATAGAGTTGATCATTCAGCAGATTGCAAGACTTTTTATTTTTCAATCTGAATTGCACCATCCAAGTGACAGCCTTGATATGTGAATTGTTTTGAGCTGTAAGTTTGAAGAGTGACAGGGAACCATGTGTAGAAATGTGTGATGAGAGGACAAGGCAGACCACTCAACAACAGTCCTAAATTCTGGAAAACTCCAAATGATTTCTGCATAAGTCCAGAACCTTTTGTATAAAGTTACAAATAATTAAGCACTTCTTTAAAAATTATAGATTGCCATCAAAATGTTTAAGATGTTATGACCTTCTAATTTTAAAATGTTTAATGCTTCCCTACATGATCATTATTTCAAATATTCATGTTTTGAATTTTGTAAAAGCTAACTTAAATATATTTTTGTAATAGGAAAAATATCTAATGAACTATAATGATGTCTAAATTACGTTGATCTCCTTCTCCACTTATCTTCCACTGCAGTTATGCTTACACATCTATCAGGTCAAGCCTGTCTTTCAACTATACTAGAAAAGCTGGTGTGAACATGAGAAATAAATTGCTTGCAGTCCTGCAGCTCAAATGTCATCCCTTATTGGTAGATTTACAGGTAAGAGAATGCAGAATTCAGAAGGGATGCCTGAAAAGTACTTTATATGCATAATGATCTCAAACATACAGTCAAATCTGGATATTTAGTGCCACCCAATCGACTTGAACCAGAAACTGATGTCATTACAGTTATCTTGGCATACAATACTTATTATATCCTTCAATCTACAATTTTGATTTAATTTATGTTTGTTTGCTGGAGAAACATTTTATTATCTTTTTCTATTTTCCCTGCTCTAAATTTAGATCAATAGCCTTAGGACAGTGTACATTAATATTTACAAGATACTACTTCTGCAGGCCTACAGGTAAGCATGTAACTTTAAAGCCCTGTTAACCGCCCTGGGAATGTGAGGTGGGTAAGGAAGATGTGACACTATGCTTTCTCAACGTTTGTTTAAAATGTGCTGGGCTATGGCCCTTTAATGGAGTGTTTTGAATACATCTAGCACAGTGATGGCGAACCTTTTAGAGACCGAGTGCCAGTGCAAAAAAGCAAGCCCTTTTAAAATAAAGAAACTAACTGGACATGAGTTTGGTTTGATAACCTGGGAAATCTTTGAGTCTAAACAGATCAGAGGTTGTTGGGGGAAAAAATGAAGGGGCAGTTAGACAGGCATAGCAGCATGGTCAGGGATGGCAATATACAGAAGGTCTCCTCAGAACTGCTGTTGTGCAAGTTTGCCTGAACTTCATTGTGGGTCAATGTAAGCATTTGGCCCTTTCTTGGTTAAGTAAATGTTATTAGGAATGCATCTGCATCATTCTTAGATCAAAACCGATGTCAGTTCATGTCAGTTTAAACAACTGTGAACATGCAGCTGCTCTCCACCCCCACCCCTCATGCCTTCTCTTCTGCTGTCAGAAAGCAGAGGGTAAGCATGTAATTTATTAACCAGTTTTGGCTCGGGAACATTGTGTCTGTATAAAATATGTCTGGGCTTTGACCTGCATCTTCCTGCCTTGCCCTTGCTTGCTGCATTAGAATTCCCATCTTCACTTTCTTAAGTACTGATAATCCTTTAATGACTTTACAATTGAACATATTTTTTCTCTTGCAAGGGTTTTTTTCCCCTTCCCCTCTCTCCTCTCTGCAAACATTTGCTTATCAGAATTATAGAACATGCCCTTTGGTCAAGGCCAAATGGAAGGAGAAGTTTGGTGCTTTCTTCTGTGTTGCATCACTATTTGGTTCAAGAGTTAATGGAGAACAATTAAGGTTCCCAAGCAGTAGTGAGTCCCTTAAGAGTCCATATATGTGCTGGCTTTAAAGCCACCCCCGCACAGTCAATTCCTTGATTTGATCCAGTACAAACTGCACCTCAGAATTTTAAATTCAGTGACATTAAATGCCGGTACATATGAAACCCTTATAAGCAAGGAATATATGTGGCTTTTTTCATGCTAGATTTCATGCCTGTGTTCTCCAGCTCCCATTTCATCACCATATCAGAAATAACCCACGTTTCTTCCTGACGGTCATCTCCGATAGTGCTTCATTCTGCTTCTTTTTTCTGAAAACTAAAAATGGAGGTAAGTGAAATAAATATCTTTTGAGCCTAATACCCCTTTTAAAATGGCTGCCCCGGGCTGACTTTTGTTTAATGCTTTTTATTACCTGGACAATCCCTGTAGTAATCTTGGCAAGATTTCTGAAGTGGTTTGTTACTGCCTCCTTCCTGAACTGAGAGACGCTCACTAGCCCAGGGTCACCCAGCTGGCTTTATGAGTAAAGCAGGACTAGAACTCACAGCCTCCTGGTTTCTAAACCAATATCTTAACAGTTAGGCCAAAATAGTTCTTCTTTCCTTTCTTAAAAGCAAATTAAACTTGAAGTTGCATTATTGGAAGTTGCTATCCCCTTCTCCCTTCAAATGGCCTTTAAGAATAGTGATTAGAAGTGGGACTATGACATTAAGAGAAGGGCAGTTAACTGTGGAGTCCTTGGTGCCCTTTGAACTCAGTTGCTTGCAGACATTTCATTACCCAGCTAGGTAATATTAAGCCCCTTTTTTGTCTGCTGAAGTGATTGTTTCCTCTGAGAGATGTTCTTTGGCTTGGAAAGGAAGCCCTCACTGGGTTACTGCTGGGTACAACCGTTTATTTTTTATTTTGACATCAGCATGTAGTGAATTAAATCTCCTGTGTGAAGTGCGGTCCCAATAATTCTCCCACAAAGGTGACAACAGCATGGTTTGTTTTGTTTTTGGTTGTTTTATTTTTTTTTGTTTCTTTTTGAAGTAAAATAAAATAACCGGTAGTGCATTCGAATATCAGTCTGGTTGGTCCCTCAAGAGTGCCAGAGTAGCGATGTTTTATAGAAGAGCAATTGTACAGAATCACAAAATACATTTCTAAGTTTGGGGGATTTCTTTTTTCGTGTAACAGGTAGCTCAGTTCCTCATTCTTACAAAGCAGTTCAGTGGCTCTCCTTCCATGCCTTCAGCACTAAATTGGCAAATCACAGGGTGATTTACAAGTGTCTTGTTGGACCTCTCAGACAGTGTAAGTATTCCTTTCCTTTGATGTCCTTCATACTTTTTAGATGTTTTCAAGTGAATGCGTAGAGTGTCTATACATTTTATATACAATACGATGATTAGTATCATGATTGTGGACCTTAGATACCCTCTTTCTGTAAGCCCTGTCAGATATAGTTATTCTTCTTTCCACATCGTCTGAGGAGGGAGACTAGAATTAGCTTATCACCCTACTCCACTGCAACTTCACAGTCTAGCACAGGGGTGTCAAACTCAATTTCATTGAGGGCCGCATCAGCATTGCAGTTGCCCTCTGGGGGCCGGGTGGGTGTGGCCAAGGTGAATGTGGCCTACTGGGTGGGCATGGATGGAGTGGGTATGGCCTACTGGGTGAGCGTGGCCATTATTCGTGTCAAGGGTGCCTATGGGGGCCTGGGCAGGAGTGGGACAGATCTAAGGGTCTCTGGCAGAAAGGAGTGGGACCAGGGCAGAGTCCATCAAGCTGGATATGTGAAGTAGGCAAGGGCCATTTGCTGGCCACTTCCAGGCGATGGTGCATTTCTTCATTCCTCATAAAGGTGACACCTCCCCAGCATGGACCCAGGGGGTGGGGCCGAAGTGGCAGGGGCTGGTTCCTCGCTGTTTCCAGACGGCCTTGTGGAGCTAAGACTGAATGCATTTCAGCATAGATGGCCACCATAAAATTGTACATTGGCTCCCAGCTGGCCAGGGCCAAGGCAGAGGGGGCCGTTCCCTCACTGTTTCCAGGATGGCTTCGCGGACCACATCCAGCCCCCGGGCCTTGTGTTTGACATGTCTGGTCTAGCAGAACTTTAGAAAAAGACAAGCCATTCCTTGGTAGATTGTCTGGCCAGCCTAGGGGACAAGCAGAGGGTAACTCTTGTTCAGCCTCAATCTAGCTCAAGCTGCAAGTAACTGGTTGCTTCTAACAGCTGCTAGGCTGAGATAAGTATTACAGTATATCTGTTTGTGCATATCAGTAAATGTATCTGTCCACATCAGTAGAGTCTATAACAAGCAGCGTAATGCTTGTCAACTGCTACTATGCTCTCAAAATATTATCTCTATTTCCAATTGCGCTTTCAGTATAGGAGTATGATATACATGTCTCTTTAATAAAAATCCTGTTAGCAATATACAAAGGCGTTATTTTCTAATTTTAATTTTTCAATTAAAAATGCAAATCTATGTCAAATTAATACTAGTTACTGTGATAATTAGTATAAATTGTTTTAATTGTGTTAAGAAAATTGTTTAATTGTATTAAGAAAATTATATTTTTCTTTTAGCGAACATACAGAGAACTCTGCCTTAAGTTTCATTTATAAATGGAATGTTGCTACAATAAGGAGATTTTTATGATCGCAAGTTAATATTGCCTAGGTCAGGGGTAGGCAACCTTGGCTCTTTTATGACTTGTGGACGTCAACTCCCATAGCTGGCTCAGGAATTCTGGGAGTTGAAGTCATGAGTCATAAAAGAGCCAAGGTTGCCTACCCCCAGCCTAGGTATTTCTTCTTTAATTGTGTTAACTGCACCATGACTGGCATCTTTCCTGCAATAACAGCATGTGCATATGTATTTTTATTATTATCAGCCCAAATCAGTCCACTGCAAGATGAAGGCCTCCTCTTGAAAGTTATAAACCATAATCAGCACCCTGATCCAGTGCAGATAGGTAGATAGGTATTTTGTGAAATCATAATTTAAGGCCAAGGTTTCATAACTGACTTCTGTGCCCAAGGGAGAACTAAAACCTGGGCTTCCTGCTCCTAGTCCAAAACCTTACCTTATATTACAGTGTCTTACGTATTAAATTTGAAAAGGCAAAGGATTTGCAAGTCAAGGAGCACCATAAAAAAATGGGACTAAAACTATAAACATACAGATTATAGGCCAAACTCTTGACAACCAGCCTTAGAATTGGCAATAAAGATATCAAAGTGGTGGATAACGTCTGCTTTTTAGGATCAATATTAGGGAACAAGCAGTCAAAAAATATGCCATAAACTAGCACTTGATAAAGCAGCCATGAAGATCTTGGAAAAGATCTTCATAATGCTGTGATGTGTCTATACGGATAGTCTGTTACTTACATTCATCCTCAAAAATTACAACTGCGATGCCACCCCTGCCATCCAATGGTTTCATTTTGGGCACTTGGCAATTGGCTTACATTTATGAGCAGTTATAAAATCCGCAGTCATTTGATTGTGTTTTGTGACTCTTTTGTCATCTTCGTGCAAAAAAGGCCCATTAGACTTAGGGCCAAATACAAAATACAGAATAACAATGTTGGAAAGGTCCTTGGAGGTCTTCTAACCATCTACTCATGAAGGAGACCCTATACTATTCTGGTCAAATGTCTGCCTAAAAGACAGTTATACAGTTAATAACTAACTTAGTGAATTGTTACATTATTCACCTAGTGGTTCATTTAGCAACCAAGTGATTCGCTTAACAAGCAGTGACTTGCTTAACGACCATTGTAAAACTGCAACAATGTACGACCAAAATTTCGTGCTGAATTGTGGCCGTCAGTCAAGGACTGTGTATACCTACAGGGATCAGAACTGCGTAAGCCATGATATTCCCTGTGATACTCTATGGAAAATCAGGCGGCGGCTTGGGAGACAACTGCCGCCGCAGCATTGGAC